TTATTGGCATCCCATGTAGAACAATAAGCACTCACAGCATTCAAGTCCCATCCATTTTGGTCAGGATTGTAATAATGATATGTGGCTCTAACATTTGAAGCACTTTCACCACCGCCACCAGTACCGCCTCCACTACCACTAGACCTACAGTTGCTTTGACAATTCTTGGAAGGATTACAATGATCGTCACTTGTCCCGCAATAACCCCATTGGCTACAACAAAGATTGTTAGCGCAAGTTTGGCCTCCAGCCTGTCGGCCACAATTTTGGGCAATTGCCGTAGCTGCTAGGCATAGGAGGAATACCATGAATAAGCTCAACCTCTTCATTTTGTTTTGAGTACTTTTTGGTTGCCTAAGCTGGCCTTGGACGCATGAATTTATAATGAGGAGATGACTACTATACGTACAAAATACCCTTGATCTTGGTAAAAAACTGCATGCTTTAAGCCTCCGATATTGACTATCAGTGTCATTCTTTATTGCTTCCTTGATTCAGGATGAATTCTAGTTCATGAATAAAATCCAATAAGTTGTTCCAATTTTAATGTGATTTAATTTTTTTTGTTTTCTTAGGTCAAGCTAAGTCTATGTTACACTAGAAAAAATACTTTCGAAGTAAATTTTAATTTAACGTGATTAGATAAGAAAGGAATTTAATTTTGATTGACATGTATATTGATACAGTGATATGAAATAATAATAATAAAGAAAAAAACTTAAAACTTTTCGAAACGACTTCAGTAAGACTCTACAGCCTACAAGCCTTGGGCGGCAGGCACCGCGACCACGGCAAGTTTGGAGAGTCGAAAGAGGCAGCTATTTTGCCCCATCTAGGAACTACACAGTTGTCATGGAGGGTGGCTTATCTATCAGTAGGTATGGCTTATCTTTCAGCATTTAATGGGTTTCAAAATATTTATTCATCACCACAGCTTTAGTCAAATGAAACTTTGGCCTTAATTACATCACCCGATGCTTGCTAGCAGAGTCCATAGCCTTAAGATCTTAATTTATCGCATGTATTCAGGCATTTAGTCTACTGATTATCGATAATAGAGAGCAGAGGTTTGGGGCTGTTGACAGAATCACTACAATTAACGAACTGTTAATTCTTCTCTTAGCTAAAAGAAGTAGAATTTGAATTATTGATTACGGTGCTTCACTGTTCATATGAACAGTGAAGCACCTTAATGTTTTTCCCAATTTTTTTTCCTTATTCTTTTTTTTTTAAATCCTACTTCTCAAATTTTTTCTTTCAATATTTTATTAATTTTAAATTAATCATCATACTTTATTTTAATTTTTTCATAAAATTATTTTACTCTGTCAAAACTCAATTTTAAATTCTCTAAATTTATCCAAAAAAAATAAAAAAATAGACAAGGAGGAGTTAATTAAAGGTTGAGAGACCACATTAAACCGGTCAGAGCCCAATTGCAACAATAAATAATGAGAATTTGGGATGATATTGAAGATTAGAGAAGACTTGCCTAAATAATTAAATTCTAGAACTTAATTAAGCTATTAATGAGCTTAATTGATTTAATTAAGGGCTTAATCAAAAATAAAATTAAGTTAGAAAGTCAATTTGTCCAAAATCAGAAGAATTAATTATGCTCAAGGACTTAAATAAACTTTTATAGGTTTAATTGAATAAACTTTTATGGGTTTAATTGACTTAGTTAAAGACTTAATTGAAGAAAAATTAAGTTTGGAGATCTAATTTGAATTAATTTCACAAAGATTGGAAGATTAAGAAGATTAAGGACATAATTAGAACATGAAAATACTAAATTGGTATAATTAGAAATTCGACTGAAAGAAATTTAAAGATTGAAGGTTAATTGAGAGTCAAATTGAACATTTTTGAGATCAATGATCAATTTATAAAAACCACATGACTTTAAGGATCCAATTGAAGAAGGTTAAGGGTTAAATTGCAAGAACTAGAAGTTTTGGAGATCAATTTTAAATTTTTATAAATTAATTGACTCAATCAAGGGTGAAATTGACTAGATTCAATTGATGTCTTAATTGAAAAGTCCTAAAAGTTTAGGGATCAAATTAAAAATAAATAATTTAGGTAAAATCCCTAATTTCCCTTTAATGGATGACAAGTTGTGTAATTTTAAAGCCTAGATCCTGAATAACATGCTATTCAGATATTATTCATTGTCTTCTTCCTAAAAATTAAAGAAAAAAAATGTCTGGATATCCACTTTGCATCTCTAATTAATCCATTACCTTTGCACTATACCCGGATTCTCTCTAAAAAAACTCTACCTAGCACTGCTCCACCCTATAAAAAATTCTTGTGTCCTCCTTTGGCAAATTGTAAAGCAAGACAAGGTTTTGTACTTAACTTTAATTAATGAATAGGATCGGAATCCCATTAACCTATAAGAATTAGATCTTGAATAGATTATGGTGATTCACTTCACATGATTCACATGAATAATGAAGTATCTTAATTATTTTTTTCAAAAAGTATTTTCCTTATTCTTTTTCAAAATCCTACTTTTCAAATTTTTTCCTTTTTACATCATCATTTAATATTTTATTAATTTTAAATTAATCATCATGATTTGTTTTAATCTTCTTTATATAAGATTGTCATAATCTCTATCATAATTCAATTTTGAGTTCCCAAAATTTATCCATAAAACATGAAAAACAAATAAGGAGCCCGATGCTTGCTAGCAGAGTCCATAGCCATAAGATCTTAATGAACTGTTAATTCTTCTCTTTGCTGAAAGAACTAGAATTTGAATTATTGATTACGGTGCTTCACTGTTCATATGAACAGTGAAGCACCTTAATGTTTTTCCCAATTTTTTTTTCCTTATTCTTTTTTAAAATCCTACTTCTCAAATTTTTTCTTTCAATATTTTTTAATTTTAAATTAATCATCATAATTTATTTTAATTTTTTTATAAAATTATTTTACTCTTTGTCATAATTCAATTTTAAATTCTCAAAATTTATCCAAAAAAAATAAAAAATAGACAAGGAGGAGTTAATTAAAGGTTGAGAGACCAAATTAAACCGGTCAGAGCCCAATTGCAACAATAAATGATCTTATTGAAGAAAATAATGAGAATTTAGAATCAATTAAAGAAAAATATTGAAGATTAGGGAAGACTTGCCTAAATAATTAAATTCAAGAACTTAATTAAGCTATTAATGAGCTTAATTGATTTAGTCAAGGGCTTAATCAAAAGCAAAATTAAATTAGGAAGTCAATTTGATCAAAATTAGAAGAATTAATTATGCTCAAGTACTTAAATAAACTTTTTATAGGTTTAATTGACTTAGTTGAAGACTTAGTTGAAGAAAAAATAAGTTTAGAGATCTAATTTAGATTAATTTCACAAGGATAGGAAGATTAGGGGCACAATTGAAACTTGAAAATACAAAATTAGTACAATTAGAGATTCAACTGAAAGAAATTTAAAGATTAAAGATTGATTGAGGGTCAAATTGAATAATTTCGAGATCAATGAGCAATTTATAAAAACCACATGAATTTAAGGGTCCAATTAAAGAAGGTTAAAGGTTAAATTGCAAGAACCAGAGGTTTTGGAGATCAATTTTGAAATTTTATAAATTAATTGACTCAATTAAAGGTGAAATTAACTAGATTCAACTGATGTCTTAATTGAAAAATTCCAAGAGTTTAGGGATCAAATTAAAAATAAATAATTTAGGTAAAATACCTAATTTCCCTCTAATGGATGACAAGTTGTGTAATTTTGAAGCCTAGATCTTGAATAACATGTTATTTAGATACAATTTATTGTCTTCTTCCTAAAAATTAAAGAAAAAAAATGTTTGGGTACCTACTTTGCAACTCTAATTATTCCATTGTTTTTGCACCATACGCGGATTCTCTCTAAAAAAACCCTACCTAGCACTGCTCCACCCTATAAAAAAATCTTGTGTCCTCCCTTGGCAAGTTGTTTGGCAAGTTGTGAAGCAAGAAAAAGTTTTGTACTTAACTTCAATTAATGAATATGACTTATTATTCACGATCGAGATCCCATTAACCAACCTATAAGAATTAGAATATGAATAGATTATGGTGTTTCACTTTACATGATTCATATGAACAGCGAAGATTCATATGAAAAAAATTTTCCTTATTCGTTTTTCAAAATCCTACTTTTCAATTTTTTCCTTTCTACATCATCATTTAATATTTTATTAATTTTAAATTAATCATGATTTGTTTTAATCTTCTTTATATAAGATTGTTGTAATCTCTATCATAATTCAATTTTGAGTTCCCAAAATTTATCCATAAAACATGAAAAAACAAAAGGGAGTTAATTGAAGGTTGAAGGATAAAATTGAACTAAATGGTCAAGATTGGGAGCCCAATTACAACCATAAAGGGTCTAATTGAAGAATACAATGAAAATTTAGGATCAAATTAAAGAAAGATATTGAAGATTGGAGAAAACTTGCTAAATAATTAAGTTCATGGACTAAATTGAACTTTTGATAAGCCTAATTGATTTAATCAAGGGCTTAATCAAAAGCAAAATTAAGTTAAGAAGTTAATTTGGCTAAAATCAAAAGAATTAATTAAGTCCAAATTTTTTATGACTTTAATTGACTTATTTAAATACTTGGTTGAAGAAAAATTAAGATTGAAGACCTAATTCGGATCAATTTCAAAAGTATTGGAAGATTAGGGATACAATTGAAACGTTGAAAGGCTAAATTGATGCAAGGATTCAATTAAAAAAATTTAAAGATTAAACGTTGTTGGAGAGTCAAATTAAAAATTTTCAAGACTAAGAATCAATTTGTAAAAAGCTCATGAATTCGAGGGTTCAATTGAAGAAGTTTAATGGTGAAATTGCAAGAACTAAAAGTTTTGAGGACTACTATTAAAATTTTATAAATTATTTGGTGAGGAAAATGAATAGAAGAATGATGAAAGTAAAAGTGTAAAACCTCTCATAGTGACCCGATGGTGCCAAAAATCCAATCTACATTTTAGCCTATGTAGTTCAATACATTACAAGTTAGTCCTTAAAGTGTAACATAAGTTACATGTAAGTCCTAGTTAGGCTGGGTTACACAACTATAAGCCTAACCCACGTAATTCCAATTTATCTTGATTCATGCAACTCAATTCTATTAGAAATCCTTTGCCATCAGCCAATTATTAAACAACATAACACCCAGCTCGGCATGCCATGTTAGCATCAAAACATAATACCTGCAAACTACCTCCACAAAACATTCACAGTAAGAAGAAAAATAGAGGGACAGTAATATTTATTCATCGCAGCCTTGGCTAAATGAAACTTTGACCTCTCCACATCACCTGATGCTTATTGACAGAGCCCATGGCTATAAGATCTTTATCATATGCAGCTAGACATACATTTAGTCTATTGATCATCGATGATAGAGAGCAGAGGTTTAGGGCTGTTTATAGAATCACCACAATCAACGAACTGGTAGTTCACCATGAGGTGCCCTTTTGCGTATCCATCTCCATCTGTGTCTATTGTACGAAAAACGTTCACGTCCAGATCTAGTCCTCCATTGCTACATTGATCCACAATCCTCACTGTTGTTTGAGCTCCTGTCCTTGTATTTGTCACCTACATGCATCAAATTAGTTAGGATACTTCATTATTAATCACTTTCCTTCCTTAATTATACATGCTATTAATTGACAGTAGTAGCTAGCTAATTGTCGAGATTTCAAGAAAGAAAAGCATACAACAGGTTCGTGTATATCTTACCCTCAAGCACTTGCCACAAGAAGCCTGGCCACGAGGACCAGCCGGGCCACAAAAAGCAGTCCAGCCATATTTACTTCGCCAAGAATAAGGCTTGCTAGCATCCCATGTAGAACAATAAGCACTGACTGCATTCAAGTCCCATCCATGTTCTTGTGGATTGTACAGGTGATATGTGGCACGGACATTGGACGCACTTTCACCGCCGCCACCCTTGCAATTGCTTTGACAGTTCTTGGACGGCGAACAATAATCATCAGTATCTCCACACCACCCAAATTGACTACAACACAGGTTATTAGGGCAGGTCTGGCCACCCGCTTGCTTACCACATTGCTCACCAATAGCACCTCCTATTAGACATAACAGAACGATCAAGAATGTATCATAAACCCTCCTCATTTCTTAACCCACCTAAGTTTTCTTGTATTATATATATATATAGTCTTACATTTCATGGGATTTTATAGTAAAGGGGGTTGATTATTATTTTTTATTTTCTTGAACATCAAGTGGGTTGATTTGTAATCCCAAAAATGCCCTGGTTCCTTTATGAATAATAGGACAAATTATATAGTAAAATATGTTGATTAGGTTTGGACCATAGATGGTTCTTGGATTGTTGTTGATATTAGAATTGATTAACTAAACGGCAGGTGATTAGTGTGGACAATCCAAAGTGATATCTACTTGGTCTTGACTTTTGATCAGTTGTTAGTGAAAATGATATATGACTTGAAGACCGGCTGCTACTTAATAAATAAGTTTTTTTTTCTCCGGTGATTATTATTTATAAGCAAGTGCTTCATAAAGAAGTTTCTTATTGTTATAAAGCAAGTTTTTTCTTCACCATAATGCAAATTCTATGTTCTTATTGTTATAAAGCAAGTTTTTTCTTTACCATAATGCAAATTCTATGTATCTGTGCCAGCAGTCAATTAAATAAATCAATCAAGCTATCAAAATCAGCTGTTAATGCACCTTTCAAATATCTAGTCTTCGATGTTATCTAAAAGAAAGAGAGGAGCCCTAAATTCAAAGTGATCTTTGATTATTGTGAGGCGGCTACATGCATGCGTTTGAGCTGTCCTGGCTGCTACTTCATAAATAGTTGTTCGATAAAGAAGGTAGTGCCAAAACTTATAGATAACCTTTAGCTTTATCCAACATATTTTTGACGAATTGTGCTTGCATAGACTTCAGGGTCATCTGTAGGAATATCTAGATATTAATCTTGTGGCTAAAAAGACACAAGCAACATGTCGGACGTAAAACATTACTAGGAGTGCCTTGACCGGAAATATAATACAAGCAAGAGACGATGAACAACACTTCTTTCAAACGTTCTCTTTTTTAATAATCAATTTTCTAACTAGGCGTGCCTTGACTGGAAATGGGACTTGTCTCCCGCCTGTTTGGATATGGGTCTGTTAAGGTCTATTGTTTGATTGTATCATTGTAAGTTCGTAGGTCTAAAACTATTGTTCTTTTTACCTGTTTCACTTCTGTGTCTGGGGGTCGGCATATGGTTTGATAGCATTAGATTATCTATGGTTGGTGTTTTTGTAGACATTTACCGGGTCAAAAAATATTATGTATAAAAAATATTATAAAAAGTTAAAATTTAAGAGTAATAGGTTTATGTGTAAGGTCTAACCTAAGAGTTTTAGGTTTGACTGCAATACATTATCTAAAAATAATATTTATAATATAAATAATAATATTAAACTTGTATGATTTAAATTTAAATAAATTTGTCTGTCACGTTAAGTTTAAGAGCCTTGAATCTGGCTGCAACACCAAATCCAAAAACTTTGAATACGGATTTGACTGCAAGACCGTGTCATAAAAATATAATAACTAAATAGAAAAAAATTTAATATTACATAATAAAATTAAACAAAATAAAGATTAATTGAAAAGAAGAAAACAACAAAGTAAATCATTGTTCCAGTGAACAGTGCTTTACAATGAGGGGTACAGTAAAATCTCCTCATTAGATCATAATAATCTAATGAAAAGTAAATAAAACAAATCATAAAATTTAATTTTTAATTAAATAAATATTAAAAGATGAAATTAAAATAAAAAACTACTTCAAAAAAATTTGAATTAACTAGGTTGACTCATCAAACCAAGTTAATAAAAGTGTAATAACTAAATAAAAAAATTAATATATATTAGCAAACTAAATTAATTAAAAAATATTAATTAAAAAGAAAAAAGCAAAAAAAAAACTATAACTAATAACATTTTTTCAAATTTATTAATTATTATATTAGCAATATTCATATAATAAAAATAATAATATTTTTAATATTAATAATACTATTAAATTTACATGATCCAAGTTCAAATAGGTCTGGCTACAATGTCAAACCCAAAAGCCTTGGATATAGGTATGGCTAGAAGGTCGTGTCATGAAAGTATAATAACTAAATAAAAAAACTAACATTAAAAAATGAAATTAAGTAAAAAAAGATTAATTGAAAATATAAATAAAAAAACTAACATTAAAAAATGAGATTAAGTAAAAAAAGATTAATTGAAAAGAAAAAAACAAAGTAAAGCAACATTCCAATGAATAGTGCTTTATGAGAAGGGATATAATAAAATCCTCTCATGAGATCATGATAATCTAATGAAAAGTAAATTAAAAAAATTAATTCTCAATCAAATCAATATTAAAAAATAAAATTGAAAAAAAAATCTGAATCAACTAAGTTAACCCACTAAACTAGATTAACCCATCAAACCTGGGATTCGTATATTGAGCGTGTGATAACTAAACATAATTTTTTTTAATATTAACGAACTAAATTAAACAAATAAAAATATTTTTAATATTAACGAACTAAATTAAACAAACAAAAATATTAATTAAAAAACAAAAAAGAAAAAAAAGAAAAGAAAACCTATAACTATTATGGATTTGAACAGTGCAATTCACAGTGAAAGATTGATCTTTTTTAGTTATAGTTAGATTAAAAGATGAAATTGAAAGACAAAACTAATAAAACAGATTAAATCATGAAATTGAAAGAAAAAACTAATAAAAAAGATTAAATTAACTAAGTTAATCCACCAAACCAAGTTAACCTGTTAAATTTGGGATCTGTGTTATCAGAATGTGATAACTAAATAGAAAAAAATGTAATATTAAAGAATTAAATTAAACAAAAAAATAAAAAAAACATATTGGAAGGAACAAAACTAATTAAAAAAATCTAAATTAATTGGGTTAACCTATTAAACATAGAACCGTGTCAAGAAAAAATAATAATTAAATAAAAAAATTAAATATTAATAAATTAAATTAAATAAAAAAATAATTAAAACAAAAAAAAACAACAACTAGAAGCATCTATTTTTTATTTTGCGGTGTAACCCACGGTAAAAAAAATAACTGGTGCTTTTTAATTTATAGTTAGTAATTAGCTGGAACCCTGTTTCCGGATGACTAAGGATAGTTGGCCGCTAGTATGGACTTACTGAAGTGGTTTTTTGGAAAAAGTTTGTTTTAGACCTCATGCTTTGATTAGGATGGTATTGTAGTCAGGATTTTGTGGTTTTGCTGTTGGGAGAGTTTTGATTTCATTTAATAGGATTTGTGTTTCAGTTATTATATATAATGAACCATGAAAGTCATGCCCTTTTATGATACAAAATTTGGCTGATTTGCAGTCACATCTACATGATAATAACACAGTGTTCTAGGACAAGGCTATCAAATATAATAGTTGTGGGAATTGAATCAATCCCTTATCTGACATTATTTTTTTAATTTAAATCCATATAATATTTCCTTGGATTCTCTTTTTGAAGGCTTGTAAACAAAGTTTAAAGAAAGAAATCAGAACTTATCTCCAAATTAATGGCACCGACCTGAGCACTCCTGTGGATGGATGATTCTGATAAGATCAAGATGTTAGTGGATTGTTATGCTTATGGAGGTGGGTGGAAAATTGTGAAAAGATCAAGATGTTGGTGGATTGTTGTGCTTGTAGGGAAGACAATATTGTATACTCTGTAAATATGTGTCCATAACTTAGGAGGACAACTAACAGTGATGAGGTTAATTTCCTTTGTTATGCCATTGACAGAATAACATATTAGATGATTAAATGTTTTTCAAGATTATAATTGATACAATTAAAGTTACAGGGGCATATTAAAAACATCATTGCAATTTTTAAAGAAGTTGATGAAGTAAGAAAGAGACTTTAGTTGATGAAGGGGTTATCGTTGCTGATGAGCTATTTAGAAGGAAAAAGAAAGTTGAAGGAATGGATGTTTTGAAAGAGTAGTGTTAAAGGGGATGGAGAGGTGGATGTGGAATGATTGCAGGCATTGTGTATGATAGTTGCAGGATTATCAGGAGTACTGCAGTTCAAAAAAACTTATTGGGTCTTAAGAACTCTGATATATGTAGAGATTTTTTAGAAGATTTCAGCAAGACGCATCTGTTTCATGTTATTATGCATGATCTCTCTCAATATATTGTGATTTTCTTACAACTTTTTTTCTAGTTTTGTGATGGCATTCATGTTGTGTTTAGATTGTCTGAACTGTTGCTCTTCTTTCCCTTAAACTTTGCTGATTCTTCTACGATAATCCCTAATATATACACGCCCCCTCGCTTATTTAAACTTTTCCTAATATTCTTCTACGATGATCCAACAACTCCATCAAGCTCTAGAGCAGCTCCTTCGTTGGATCCCACAACCCCTGTAAATATCACGCCCCCTTACGTTGACACTGCTGCTTCACTATAGGCATAGTCCCCAGCAATACATCCAGCGCTTACCACTTCTTCCTCCTCATCGCAAACAAGGAGAAAATTAATCTTTTTTCCCTTGTGCTTTGGTGAGTCATTGGTCGCAAACAAGGAGAAAATTAATCTTTTTGATAGATTTTTTTCCCTTGTGCTTTGGTGAGTCATTAATGCTTTACTTACGTTTCTTTGTGTTGAACAGCTCTGTGGAAGAACCTGAGCATCTCTCTCTTGAAGAATCTGAACCATCAGACTAGGTCCCGTCTTCTAGTTACAAAACATCTGAACCACCTAGCAAGAGGCATCACCCCTCTAGTCATCAAAATTTCGAGCATCCTTTGTCCATAAGTTTCTCCATGCTCTTTAAATTTATGAGAGGATTGATATCACATTATTCTCTTTCCTTGCTCTCTAAACTTCGTGGTTCCATTTTTGTTACCAGTCATATGCTTAGTAGAGCACTTCACTGTATTATTTTTATCAATCACAACGATTTTCAAACTCGGTAAACCTGTATGGAAAAGATGATTTTTAGTGGTTGCTAGGGCTTGCTAATATGCCATTGTCATTCTTTAGTGGCAATATATCATATAAGCATATTGCTCCTTAGAAGTCTGTTCTATGAACATTGCTCCTTTAGGTCTGCTGTCAAATTTGCGGCAACCCCTGTTCATCTTTCTAATATATTTTGTTCAACTACCTCTTGACCAAACTTAATTATATTTTGCTTGCAGGATCACTGCCTTTGATAACACATGGCCCTTTTTGTGTATCCACGACACCTAGGCTGGTTGTCTGTTTTTTGCAGGACTTTCATGGCTTCACCCCCTACTCCAACAATGTACTGCTGCACTCCCTTGCGATGCCACCGCTATATTCCACTTCTTTTTGTTAGTATACTTCCTTTTTGTTGTGGATTAATAGATTAATGTGTATTTTACATTGATGCAAGCTTTATTATTCCACGATTCATGTCTTATTTAAGATTCGCTCATGAAGCCTGACCAGCTCCTTTTCATCTGCCCTTTATATTTATCTCTTGATTACTTTGCTTCCTAGACAGTTTCAGTCTTATTTCATGCTTTTAAATTCCTTCCTCCTTTTCGATTGCTCAGCAATTCGAACATCATATATCAACACGCATGTGCTGCACAATTTGATGACAGTGCTTGGGCAGTACATCCAAGCTGCTGCCCAGATGAAGAACAAATTAATTATCTTCATCTCTATTACTGTCATGAAGCACTCGCTTTTTTAACAACAATTGACACATTTGCTTCTGCTACATCTGGGCTGCTGCCCAGATGAAGAATAAATTAATTATCTTATTCTCTTATCACTGTCATGAAGCACTCGCTTTTTTAACAACAATTGACACATTTTCTTCAGCTACATCTGGGCTGCTGCCCTGATGAAGAACAAATTAATTATCTTCATCTCTTATCACTGTCATGAAACACTCACTTTTTGAACGACGATTCACGCATTTGCTTTTGTTGCCCCTTGCCATGATCCATGTTTCTTTATTATTCCATTGCTATTGGACACTGTGGAATATGGAACATGTTTTTTTCATAGCCATTGTTGCTTAGATTGCAGTGTTGATGAATGTTGCTTTCGATTTTTAACTGTAGCAACACTTTGGTCCCTTGGTTCATATCTATTACGCTCCAGGAAACTTTATGGAAGTTGGTTCGTTCACTTTTTGTGTGGCCTTGGGTCCTTTTGCTTGGCACCAACACAATTCTCTTCTGTTATTTAACAAATTATGTGTAGCTTAGCAGCCATTTTTGCTGCTTCAGGAACACCAAACTCCCTTCTCAAAAAATTGCATCCATTTGCATTTTGCAATTATGTCATTATGCTTTAAACTCATTCTATGTGCCTTTCCTTACCAAAAACAAAATGGTTATTTTCTGTCTTCACTGGATTAGATTCTATCGTAGATTTTTTTTGCTTGGTGCAAGACTCTTGATAGTATGAAATCTTCAAGGTAAAAAAAGAAAAAGAGGAGGAGAATGTTATTCACACGTACATACCATGTTAATGTGGGGTTTGCTTTTGATATTTTGTTTTTAAATTTAATCTCAATTAACATGTAAATTGACCTAAATACATCTTCCACCATTGAGAAAATTAGAAACTACTATTACTTAATTTACCATCGTCATCCAATTTTTACCAATTTAAGAATTCTTATCTCTCCTATTTATTATAATGTAATATTTTAAATGTAATACTCCTTTATGTTATGATTTATTTAATTTTTATTTTCTTACATGATAAAAATGGATTTTGATCATAATAATTAGAAGGGAAAAAAAAACATTAAAAGTGAGTATAATTGATCATCGTGGCTGCAAGATGAATTGGAATTAATAATTAATGGAGTGGATATAATAATAATATAAAATGAATTAGCTTGAAGTTCCATTTTTTTTAATGTAAATACTACTCTTGAAGTACCTAAGTAATTCCTTCACTCATCAATTTCGCTGGGAAAAAGCCCATAGTACTCAAATTGGGCTTGGGCTCCCTCAACATGGCTTTAAATGCTTTTGGGCTTTACGTTTTAATGGGTTCCAAGGAGGGAAGGGAACACAATGATTCTTGAAGAAGGATTTGTGTCCCATGCACTTGAATGATGCGGGTCTGTTTGCATTTTATCAAAAGAGAGGAAATTCTAATTAATACATAATAATTATTATAATAAAAAAGAATATAAATTACTCTGTGTATTCTATAATTTAGTTATTTTTTATTTTGAAATTAATGTATTTTACATTTTTAAAAGTCTAACACTAAAAATAACATAAAAAAGAAAAATCAGAAAACCTAGCCACATTATTTTTCATCCTTCCCCTCTCTCTCGTCCACAGCATCCAGACCCAAATTCTCCTCTCAAACTTCAAACCTACCTGTTCCTCCTCCTGAGTTGCCACCACCGAGTTGGCTTCCTTCATGGTCGAGTTGCTTTGCTTCTCTACTATACATGCTGGTGTGATTGCAGATCTTAATGCACGGCGTATTATCAATGAGCCCACTGCTGCTACCATGGCTTACGATCTAGAAATGGATACAAACTATGTTGGTGAGAAGAATGCTCTAATCTTTGATTTCATGGAAGCGCGTACAGTGGAAGTGCGAGCCACAGCTGGAGACTCCCACCTTGGAGGCAGGGACTTCGACAATAGATTGGTGAATTACTTCGTTCAGGAATTCAAAAGGAGGAAAAAGGAAGGGCATTGGTGAAGATAACCTCTCTAATAATGGCTTAATGGGTTTTAGAATTGTGTAATAGGAAGCATGCCAATAGTAAAGGTATATCAGAGAAAACAAAAAGGCGAAGGATTTGGGAGTTCCATGGAGAAAAAAGAGCCTAATATAAAGAGTGTTTATGCTCCAGAAACTCCATTAAAGACTCCACCCCTTCCAGCAAGGCCACAGCTGGTCTATATTAGAAGACGCTCTGAAATTGCAGGAGAACAGTCTCGGGACCCATTTTTCGCAATTTGTGCAATTAGTTTTAGTTTTTGTTCTTTCCTGATTTTTAATTGTGCTTGCCATTAAAAAACATGAAGTTAATATTTTTTTATAATTTTAATGAATTAATATTAAAAATAAAAAATAATTTTTTATTTGTTTTTAAACAAAAAATATTTAAAAAAAATCATGCATCACAATTGTTATTATCTATTTTGGAGCTCACAGAAACAAAAAAGAATTAGAAAAAAAAATGGAGAAAATGCAAAAAAATAAAAATGAATTTGGAAGAAAATTAAAAAATATATATCAATGAAAAGAATATATCAAAATGCTCACGAAGTTGTCAAAGACTAAGAAAAATCAAATATACAAAATTAAAAAATTTGATAATATATTTTCTACGGATAAAGGTCTCATTGGCAAAAAAACATTAATTTGAGGATGGAAAATTGAAATTAAAAGTTTAAGGAATCAATTAGAATTTCTCAAGGTTTATTTGAGTTTATTAAGAGCTTAATTGAAAGAAAAATCATTTTTTAAAGTCAATTTAGATTTTAATCAAAAAAAAAATTTGAATAGAAAAATCATTTTTTAAAGTCAATTTAGGTTTTAATCAAAAGAAAATAAAATTTGAGAGTCAAGTTGTAATTTTTAAAAGTTAATTTGGTCAAATCAAGGGCTTAATTACATAAATACTGAGTTTGATGGACAGTTAGAGACTTGATTGAAGAAATCTAAAATCAAGGATCAAACTGAAAAAGTCATGTGAATGTAGAAGCTAAAATTGATCAAATCAAGGGTTAAATTGAAGAAAATTCTAAAGTTATATGAGCATCTTTTTTCAAAAAAATTTAAAATATTTTTGCATGTTTTTTTAAAAAATATTGTTTGAATTATATAACAAGTTTGTAAAATTTCAAAAGATTTTGGCCTATATTTAAAAATTATTTTGGTAAGAAAATATTATTTATTTTTAATATAAGGATAAAAAACATAAAGAGGTTAATATTCAAAATATTATTAGGGATAATAAATATTATTCACTTTTAATATAAGGATTAAAAAACTTGAAAGGGGTTAATATTCAAAATATTATTAGGGATAATAAATATTATTCACTTTTAATATAAGGATTAAAAAACTTGAAAAGGGTTAATATCCAAAATATTATTAGAGCTAATTTTTTTTATTACTCATTTTAATATAAGGATAAAAAACATGTATAAGGTTAATATCTAAAATATTATTGTAAATAATACAACTCATTCACATAGAATACAAGGATAAAATCTGCAAGGAATTAAAATATTAATTAGAATAATATGGTAGAAAAAATTTTAGTTTTATGTCAAAAAAAAAATCTAATGATAATTAAAGATATTTCACCTTCACAGACTAAGTTATTGACCGAGAAAATCAGGATTTGTTCGTTGTAATAAACATGTCACACTAGACTAGTAAAAATAGACATCATTAAACCATAGTAAACAATTAAAAAAAATACCGCTTACTTCATGTAAGATATATTAAGGATACTAATATATTCCATTTACACAACTAATTTCTGTCTAGAATATCTAAAAAAACCTGTAAAAGCTCTTAACAGCCGTAATAATAAAAGACAACTCCCTAACCAAGTAAAAAAACCTTCTATGCTGTAGTAGAAAAAGGTCGTTGTGACATCGCGCCCCCACAATTCAAGGGTATTACAAAAATATTGAACACATATTATTTAACATGAAAAAGGTAGAAGAAGCTTTTGAAAGAAAATGAATAAGACCAACACACTATGTTTAAGGTGTGGTCGCCGCAACTTTAATATCTAGAAAAGTGTTTAGTTTTTTCTTTTAGATTTGTGTTTAAAAAAGAGAGCATAAAAGGTTTGTATGAAGAGTGAGAGAATGAGTTATGTGATATTTAAAAAAAAAGAGAATGAGTTACGTGATAACGGTTATTTTTAATTTATAAAAGGGGTATTATTGTATTTTTAATGATTTTCACATCTATTTTGATGAATCTTGCAAAGTATAATATTCAAAAATCTATTACAACATAAAAAAAAAACATAAAATGTTTATAACAAGACAACACCTATCCATACAAGTAAATTAATAATACGCAATACTACGATCTAAAATTCAAAAATGGTTTGTTTTTATATATCATATATATATTTTTAAAATAAAATTACTTTTTTTTATTTATAAAAAAATAAATAAAAAAACTCAAACCAAAACTTATTAGGGAGGGGAGCATGGATATCATTGGGCAACAAGGTTTATCTCTTGGACTAGAATACCTACCCATTAGGACAGCACGATTGATTTTGATGGAGAAGTTGGGCATGCGCGCCAATTCTCTATTTTGATTATGGCCGAAGCACTCTCAATGTGTATTATTCTCCTTTAAATTATTATATCTCTTAATCAAACCCAACATGATAATAAGCTGTCATGATCTTCTATACCACTTTGATAAAGGAGGAATTTGGTCGTTTGGTATATAGTGGTTTAAAGTATTTTTTATTTAAAAATATTTTTAAATAATATTTTTTATTTTAAAAAATTATTATAATATTAACATACGTGAAAATATAAAATAAAAAATTAATTTTAAATGAAAAAGCTTTAATTTTTTTTTTAAAATACAATTTCAGCTGCAATTCAAAATAATAAATAAATCTTTTCGTGATGATGATCTGTCTGACCCTTCTTTCCTATCCCATCTTTTTTTCACTTGTTTTTGATGGAGCATAAAATCAAGGACCACATCATGAGATCCCTTTTGTACTTGAGCTGCGCATGATCCTACAGTAGGAACTTCCTTTTGGCTAAGTGGAGATGCCCATTATGATCTTCAAAGAACCCTAAAGAATGAGAAGAAAGGATTGGTTGGAGTGATCTCCTAGGGCTTGCTATCATGAGACAGCTAATTAAGCACCATTTTTAAGTGCTTGCTGTTGAGTAGATCATTCACTAATATTATTCGGAAAAACCAGGTTAAATACATTTATATACTAGATCTCTTTTTTAATGATTTATAAAGAAAAAACCCGATCTTGAGATATCTTCAGAAAAGGACAAATATTAATATTAACTAAGCTATACTTATCGGCTATATTTATATACTCGTTCACTACAATACGAGCCGTCGAGGGCTTTCCCACTTCAATCTTTCTTTAGAGGGCGTGCCCTTTACTAATTTGTAAACAATGAACACAAAGAATTAAACGTTTGTCTAATTCTGTGCACCACTCTTCAATATGAAACCTGCAAGTTGTGAAGAAACTCTTCTATAGACCACTCTTGTACATGCCAATCTTAATTATTTTGTTGTGTGATAGTGAAAAAGAAAGGGATTTTATTGAGCTCCTTTAAGTTCACCAAGATTTTCATGGATAGGCATGAAAAGAAGTGGAATCTCTCTGTCAAAGAGAGCCCGAGCAGATAAGTTTCATCAATCAACATGTTTTACCAGCAAGAACAGAAGCACATGGACTAACATGGGGATTAGCAAGTGGTAGTTTTTTTTTTATGATTTTCACTTTTAAGACATACTAAATAAAATTAAATGCGATCATTTTTGATGGATTAATATTGTGATTTTGTTTGATTCGAGATGGTGAATTATGCTTAAATAAATAGACACTTACCAAAGAAG